GTAGACGCAAGGCATCCTATAACTGTTTCTTCAATGAGACTCTAAGACAGTAGTTAACCTTTAAAGGTTATGAGCCCCTTTGAGAATCTGATGAAAGTCAGGGAATCTGCTCTGAAAAATATGTACATTTATACAAAGTTTTACTTATAATTTCAAGAAATCTATGAAGGACCTAAAATCCCTGCAGAGATTTCCCCAGCTAAGATGCCTGGTGTTAACATTCCAGTTTCATTCTATACAAGGGGAGAAACAGAGAGTCAGCTGTCCACATGTGATCTAAAATAAGGAAAAGGATTTAGTAAAACATCCCCAAGGAATTACAGGGCAGAAAGGATTAGAATTAGAGGTAGACATGGGCCATCCATCTTATATAAAATTTTCTCAGTGTCAACATTACAAGTTCACGGCTATCCTATATTAAATAAAGATAAGGGAAATTCCGTAACAGTTATACCACAAATGAAGATGTGGGACAGGAGAACCTCACAAACATGTTTTTCTCATCCAATTATAAGACACAAGATACCTACATCAAAGATACACATGGAGAGTATAATACTAAAATAACCTGTATTACAACACATGAGCCATGGTCCAAAAAGACTCTGTAGGATGGGGGTTGTGGAGGAGGGAATGGTAGTATGTTCAAAGAGTGGTACTACCACAAATACCCATACTAAAATTTTCCCAAGAGTTCAACTCTATGGCACTGGACTGTCCCCTACAGTGGACACAAGGGCAGTGGTTAGAGACCTTGGTCCAACATTACCTAGGTCTCTCGAAGTCAGTCATGAAACTGACATTAAAGAAGCCATATATTTACTATTTATAAAGTGAAATAATAAACAACTAACCAGAATGGAATTAAGAATCACAGACTTGTGGTCAGTCTCCTTTGGCATGTCCTCTTCCTAAAATAAAGGTCCTATGTATATATAAAGGCACGTGTGAAGAAAGGTAGTCCTGGGGAAAACTAAAGACTGTTCAATTCACTGTGGAATCAAAAGGTAGGAAATTAGATTTGGCAATATTTGCTAAATTAATATTAGTTTATTTGCTTAGATTAGTAAATCTATATATTATAATTTTAAAACTTTATGTCAAGGATAAGACTCTTGTATCCAGCAATGTTCTTAGGGCAATTTCCTTAAATGCCACTATTTCCTTTTTGTAGAAAATGTTTACATTTGGGACCTCACTTTATCTTCAAACACAAAAAAAACAAGTCTCTAATGGCTTTAGCATTAGCTGACTGCAGCTGGAAGTCTTCACCATGCTCTGAGCAAACCATCCTGTGTCACATCATGTCAGATCCTTGCCCAAATTGCCTCCAGTGAGTCTTTCAAAAAGATGTGCAAACATTAGCTGAACAATATACTATGATTCATCTTCAAAAAAAAGAAAAACTGGACAGCGCACCGGCTCGGCCTCGCAGGGGAGGGTCCTTACAACACCAGCACAGCTCGGCGACCCCGGCTTGCTTCGGCCACCATGCCGCGCTCTTTCCTGTCAGGAAGTCTGCCTGCTCCTGCTGGAGGCCCAACTACAGCGAGCTGCAGACTCTTCTCCAGAGTTCATCTTCCAGCAGCCCTACACCAGGCCCACCTGCTGGTAGCCATCCCACCTCTTGAGGTCCTCAACCACACGGCCTCACTGCCCACGCTCATCTGGGACTCTCTCCTGGCACCACAAGCCCAGCCAATTGGCTGGGCCTCCCTTCTACCCCGGGAGATCACCAAGGTTGTTGAGCTGACCTCCCTGTTAGACGAGGACAGTAGGAAAGGCTCCCAGCCGCCCAGCTCACCCTCACCAGCCCCTTCCTCCTTCTCTTGCACCTCAGCCTCTTCCCTGGAGGCCGATGGTTATGCTGCCTTCCCGGGCTTGGGCCCATTGCCCAAGCAGCTGTCTGGGCTCTCAGGGGCCAAGGACCCCTAGTCTTGCAAGGCCTTCAACTGCAAATACTTCAACAAGGAATACATCAGCCTGGGTGCCCTCAAGATGCACATCCGAAGCCACACCCTGCCCTGCGTCTGTGGCACCTGCGGGAAGGCCTCTCCAGGCCCTGGCTGTTATAGGGCCATGTCCGGACCCACACTGGGGAGAAGCCCTTCTTCTGCTCCCACTGCAACCGTGCTTTTGCTGACCGCTCCAACCTGCGGGCCCACCTCCAGACCCACTCAGATGTCAAGAAGTACCAGTACAAGACGTGCTCCCGCACCTTCTCCCGCATGTTCCTGCTCCACAAACACCAAGAGTCAGGCTGCTCAGGGGGCCCCCGCTGACCCCTTCGGCTGCTTCTGCCTCTCCAGACCCTCCCCCTGCAGCGGCCTCCCCCAACTCTGGAAGGAAGGACTCCTGCATCCTTCATACCGCTGTGGAAATCCCTTCTGAGCTCCCCTTTTGGCTGTTGTAGCTTCACAGGGCACTGAGGACCATTTTCCAGTGTGTCTGCTTGGGGGGCCTCGGTTGGCTCTGTGGATGGCTGATGGGAGGGTGACCCCTTCTGGCAGCCACTGCTCCCCAGCGAGCGTTCTGGAGTTGGCCTTGATGTGTAGGCTTGTGTATCCAAAACTGTTTGGATACAGCTGCTTTGAGCTACAGGACAAAAGCCAACAGACTGATAGAGGCTCCCACCCCACTCCTGCCCACCCTAGAATTCCTCAGGCCACCTCTCCAGGAGGTGTAACTGCAGCGATCCACCCCCGGGCTGTCCACGGGGCCTGCGGGGGCGGTCTCTGACACAAGGACATGTCTAGACCCCAGGATGCCCCAGGCCCGGGCAGCTATTTCAGCCTCCTGTTTGTCATGGTGGCACCTGTTTCACTGGCAATTTAGCAGCGTCTCAAAAAGGAATGTGAGTAATTGCCGTCACTTGTCAGGGGCCCAAATAGGGTGCTTCCGCCCAACCAATGTGTCTCCCAGAACTATTTTCAGGGACCCAACAGGTGGGCCCAGGAGGAAGATGTTTACATTTTTTTAAAACGTACACTGGTATTTATATTGCAAGCAACATTTTGTACTAAGGAAGCATTTTGTATAGTTATATGTACAGTTTATTGATATTTAATAAAGTGGTTAATTTATATGTAAAAAAAAGAAAACCTGTGTATTTTTACTCTGCACATGTACACTGTAACTTTCTCAGAATGCTTTGTCATTTAAACATACATATTTCAATGTTTTTGTACTGATAGACTACGAATACAAAAAAGCTCTCAGTTATTTTATGAATAAAAACAAAAAAAATCTGTTGAAGCTAAACACCATATTGGTATGATATTCTGTATGCCAATTCTCTGCCTCACTTAAAAAAAAAGAGTTGATCAATATAACTCCTTCACCCCTTTAAAGTAAACAAGAACAATGACAATCATAAGTCAACTAGGAACAACTTGTGCTCCTAATTAAATGAAAAGGCCTTCTTTAGAGAACATTTTTCACATAAATGAGAATGTACTTTATTATCACCAGAGGTCATTGCCAGCCAGGTGATAACAGGTTTTAAGTTAGGGCTTAAAAGAACCTGTTAGCCTCAGTACTTTCTTGAGCAGCCTCTACAACCCCTCACCTCTTTTATCTATTTCCCATCCTTCCCAATCCCCAATGGGTAAGCTCAAACACTGCACATGACCAGGAACAAGACACTCTCACAGCCTCTCTAGAAAACAATGAAGTTGTCATATGAAGGCGTATATGCTGACTTGGCTGTCCATGCTCTAGTCTAAAACACTGATCTTATTTTTGTCTGAAAAGTAATCATCCAAATTGAAAAAAGTAAGTTTTCTGGGGGACCAAAGAAGTAAACTACTAACGATCTTCTGAAAAGAAATACACCTAACATGGGGTCAGCAAACATCTATCTATATAAAACTCTAATATGTAAATAGACCAACGGCAGAACAACCGGTGGGATGACCGGTAGCTATGACACACGCTGACCACCAGGGTGCAGACGCTCAACGCAGGAGCTGCCCCCAGCCCGCAGGCCCCGATCGTCGGTGGCAGAGGGGTGGAGCCGGCGAGCAGGCGGTGCCAGGCCAGCCAAGGTGGGTGCGAGCGGGGGCCCCGATCACCCTGCCAGTTGCCCCACAGATCAGCCCTGATCACTGGCCAGGCCTAGGGACCCTACCTGTGCACAAATTTCGTGCACCTGGCCTCTAGTCTTTCATAAAGGGCGAGAGAGAAAATAGTTTAGATTTTGCAGGCCATGTGGTCTCCATTGCAAATATTCTTCTCTGCCATTGTAGCATTATAACTGCTATAGACAATACATAAATAAATGAGTGTGGTTGTGTTACAATAAAATTTTATTTACAAAACAAGGTGGCCAACTCCTATACAAAAATATAGATCCTCTGTTATGATACTGTTTACAGGCACACCTTTGATGCAAGGTTGATGTGAGAAATGTCACTCTAAATGGCTTGCTCTCTCTCTTCCTTGTTTGTTGTGCAGAAGCTGTTCAATTGGCTCTCAGTTGTCTCTCAGATGTGTTCTTGGGAGGGAGTGAGGTCAGTGTCCTCTTATGCCACCATCTTGGTCCCCCCTCTAGATAATCACTTCATTTAAATCATCCATTCAACAACAACACAGGCATACAAACAACTAATACTTAGCATCTGTACATGACCCTACAGACAAGAAATCAGATAGTGTGGGAGAGAGGAGGAGGAAAAGAACTTAAATGAAGCCTTACTGTGCATTTGGTAATTTTCCAACGAATTGCCTCATAGTCAGGGATATTAAGTTTTGAGGTGGTATTAAAGGGAGATTAGACTTCCATAAGTCTTTTGCAGAACTGGAAAGTTGGGTCTATCAGAAGGCATAATGATGGAAGGCTATCTTTGTAGTTTCAGCATGAGGGAACAGTAAATGCAAAGCAATATTCCTGTGTCTGAATATTCCTGATGGTTTTTACAGATCCCCTAGGCTACTCTACCCCCAAAGTTAAACAATGTCCTAAATTATCTTACATATTCCTACATATTACTAAAACTTACCGAATCTTCTGGAGGTCTCTGGATTTTTCCCCAATCCACAGAAGGTCCCTTTTCTTGCAAAAATCTATGAAATAGCTTACGAAATCCATCAAGGTCTTTTTTAGTGTGCTATAAAAACAGAAATATATTGGCTCTCAGAATGCTTAATATTTAATAAAAACAGATATATATTGAACACACTTAAAATGCCTTTCAATGAAATTTTTAAACTATTAAACATGGAGCCTTTTTCCTTTTTTATCCCCCAATTTAAAACTAAAGCAGGAGGAAAAGCTAATAGGAACCACACTTAAAGGAATACAAGCAAATAATACTCCCCATATCCCACCAGTGTCATGTACTCTGAACACCATTTTGTCCATGGGAAATCCAAATGGTTCCCTGTATTTATTCACCAATATCTTTCTCTGCTTCTTTTCAGTGAAAATATATGCTCACTAAAAGAACAAAAAGGAACAAAACACAACTACAAAACATTAAGTACAAATTAAAATATGAAAATGATTTGTAAGTAGAAAAGTAAATCTGCCTATTGTGGGATCTTTATTATAGCTGACAAGTAGCATAGTTCTATTAGAACTGGCTCTTTTTAAAAAAGGCATTCAGGATATATGGTTCATGAACATTGGTATCCATATCTCTACCCAATAATATCAAAACACAGAATAAATAAAGTGTAATTTTGTTCTGTTTAGACTTTAGAAACTTCCTAGAATTAAACAAGAAAAAGACAATGGTTTTATAATAGCTAAATGTTGAAAGTTCTTAATTGTTAAGCAATCCTAATTTTTTATGTTCTCGTTACATCTTGTGCTTATTTTAAATTGGATGATCAGCAACAGCAACTCAGCATATAGATGAATGAAAGCACAAGAAACATTGTAGAGTCCTTACCTCAAACTCATGTGATGGTGCTGTGATGAGTATTTTTTCTAGTTCTTTCTTCACAGATAATTCTAGCTCTTGTCGAATGACCTCTTGGAACTGAGAAGCGCCATCCTGAGACATTGCTTTGCTAAGATCTTAAAACAAAAATATAAAACAACCAACTGAAAAATAAGAAATCCATTTAAACAGCTGCCAAGTTAAAACATTTATTTCTGGTTTTCCAGCTAATGAAAAAGGCTCAATGCTATAGTCCCATCATCCTCTCACAGAATTTCAGTAGTGTCAACTAGTTAGGACTATATAATCACACTAGAGGCCTGGTGTACAAATTCGTGCACCAGTGGGGTCCTTCAGCCGGGCCTGTGGGATCGGGCTGAAACCAGCTCTCCGATATCCCCCAAGGGGTCCTGGATTGCGAGAGGGCACAGGCCAGGCTGAGGGACCCCACCAGTGCATGATCGGGGCCAGGGAGGGACACAGGAGGTTGGCCAGCCAGGGAGGGACCATAGGATGGCTCCAGGGCATGTCTGGCCCATCTCGCTCAGTCCCGATTGGCCAGACCACAGCAGCAAGCTAACCTACCGGTCAGAGCATCTGCCAGTCATAGCAAGCAGTTGAGCGGCCTTAGCATATCATTAGCATATTACTCTTTGGTTGAATGGATGACCAGACACTTAGTATATTAGGCTTTTATTATATAGGATGTGATTAAATTTGACTATTTTGCACATCTATATGCTTTACTAGTATATCTGAAATACTAAACACTTTTGGGAAGATGGGGCAGGTGGAAGTAAAAAGATTAATCTTCATTTGAGTACATAATTCCATCTCTACTCATGTTTCCCTCCTAGCCATTAAAACTAGAGTAAAATCAGAACAATTGGGATAATGTTAATAAGGATATGTGTTATGGAACATGCCCTTACGGAACTCCTGCTGCATCATAAGATAATGAAGGGGTCTAGCAATTTCGCAGAAGCAAAAGACTCCGTCTTCCTTCAGGCCACATGAAAAATTTAAGGAATCCCTTCTATTTTAGAAGGAGAGCCACTATAGTTTCATATTCCTTTCTAGAAGAACCCCTTGAGAAATAGATAATGGCAATTCCAAGTTGCTTCTACTTCCTTTGGCATCAAAATTTTAATTTTAAAAAGAGGAGGGCAATGGCTACTTCCCCACTCTGATCCTCAATTTCAGTAAAGACTTTTCAGTACTCATCTGTGTCAGACAAGACTACCAGGACTTCTGGCATAGCTGAGCATCTCTGTGACAGTCGGATCTTGCTAAATAAAGGTGACAGAAATGCCTTTTAGATGAAAACAAAAATAGAAAAATACAGAAAAAGAAAACATCCTAGACTCAAGTATCTCGAGAGAAAAATGCCAACATAGATGTTTTATACACTTAAGTATCTAGATTATCCTATTTTTTATAAAATAAGGGACAGGCTGATTATTGTTCACCTCCCCTTTATCCCCAATACCTAACTCAATCTTATTTTATAAATGTATTTGTGAAGTTTATGTTCAAACATTTTCTTTAATAATTAGTTCTACAAATGTTGGTTAATTTAGCAGAATCATATTTCACATAGCATAAATTCTTTTACTTATCTGGGTAGCAGGAAACATTTATATAGACAGAATTAAAGCCAACATAATAAATATTTTAAGATACTTTTGAGAGCAGAAATTAGTATATTATGTTAACTCCTGAAGCAATATTTAATATAGATAGCTTCCCCCTCTCCTTAATATTTAAAAATGTTAACAAATGAGATATTTAACACAGATCTTCAAAAATCTTTTATTCACACTTTCCATCATATTAAAATCCAAGAAGAAAGAAAAAAAAAGGAAATTTGGGGAGAACACATCTAATCCTAAAATAGCCAGTCTCTAACTGTGCTCTTTTTACAGGCATAAATCACAACACAACTAAGTTTATGGACTCCAGTAAAACTACCAAAGTGAACCCAATTGTGGTTCATAACAAGGTCTTTGTGAACTAAAAAAAAAAAAAACACCATAAGAAACACATAAGTGTGTGTTCCATAAACAATCCATATGTTTCAACTAGTAAGTAGAAATTTTGATTATAGTGTGTAAAAACCCATGACAATGGATGAGAACAATTGCATAACTATGATAGGTAGTTAAAGACAAAACTCCTCCAGAACATTTTAAACTACAGTCAATGTGACAACCAAACACACATGTTCATCCCTTGGCTAACTTAGCTGTAATTTAAAATCTGTCACAGATTAAGTCCACTAACCTGCCACCCCATGTATTGGGGATATCTCCTCCCCAATCTTTAAGCCAACTCCCATATTAATGTTTAGAAAACAGTTTGGGGGAAATATCTACTAAATATAAAACCTCTAAATTACACATGAATTGTTTCTATGTCACAGACTGATGAAAACAGATCAAGAAATTAATACATAATGATTTTTTAAAATAAGTGGAGTTTTTTTTGTTGTTGTTAGACTCAAGACACCTACAGACTTGCTGCTTTGTTGTTGAAGTTAGATCCTAAAGGCCAACATTCAGTCACATTCCTAAAAAATAGAGTGATGGAAACATTTAACTTACATATATCTGGGCAAAATGAGTTAAAACTAAGTGTAACTGCTAAGTTTAAAATAACTCTCTAGTAGCTGTCTGAGATTTGTCTACATGAGAACAGTCACACACACACACACACACACACACACACACACACACAACAACAACAACAACAACAACAACAACAAAAACACCATACACCAAACTTTAGAGACTCTCTGCAGAACAATAGCCTATCAACTTTACATGACTTAAGGCCAAAATGCACAGAATCCGAGCCACTATCCTCCCCATCAAGCCAAGCTAAGAAGACTGACTGAAAGGCTCACATTTAATATTACATGTGATCTTTGCCAGCTGCAGCAGGTCCAACCCTCAAACACTAATTCAAAAAGCCAGACAGATTCAAACGCCAGTTGTGACAAATAGGCCGTACTTTTATTCCATTTGTATGACATAGCACCAAATTCAAACGAAGAACAGTTTGTATTCCTTCTACCCCCTCTACAAATATGAACAGCTTACACAACAAAAGAACATTATAACACGCCTATCACTTCTTCCACCCCATTCCACAGCTGTTTCCTCTCCTTTCCTTGAGGAAAGTGCGACTATGAAGTTCTTTTTTTTTTTAAGTGACTCGATAATAAGGAAGGGCTTTTAAGGAATAAAGAATATTCAAGAATAAAGAATAAGTGTGCTTAATCAAGACCAGGGGGCATAGGGCTAGGAGCTATTTCCCTTTCTAGTAACCTTATACATCCCGAATTCAAGAAAGGCCTGGAATTTCTGGTAGAAAAAGAAGTACAAACATTAGATGCTTTTTGGGCTTAACCTTCTCAGGTTACACTTCTGGCAATGACAGCTGAGTTTCTAATGTAAGGTCAATTAAAGAATCCCCTGAATAATGCAAGATTTCTAACCTCCTAAAATGTTTGTCCCTCAATTCTTAGCAATAGAGAAATTGATTCTCCTTGACTATAGACAGAGAGTAGATTAGAAATAAAACATTTCATTACCTCACTCATAAATCAAAACATTTTTAGTGATGAGAAGGAGCATTTAATCTAGTCTCAACATTTTAGATATAAAAACAAAGTTGAAATAGTTAAATGACTAATTCAATGTCACAGAGTAGGCTTAATGGAATCCCAAAACAAAGCCAGTTTATGCTGAGCCCCAGCCCAATACAATGAGGTGAAAATATCGTGCTCATTTTCCCCTCCTAGTCTAGCTCCTTAATCATGACACAAAATCTCTAAATAACACTCTCCTCCAAAAGCATTTCTATTAGGATGTTGTCTTATACTCAATGAGATAAAAAGGAAACTCCCTACCACATAAAACTGAACTTACTAGAATCTTGGTTGACTTAATTACAATTTGGCATAGAACAGGCAGTAACTTTATTTTACAAGTTTTTCCCCCACCTCAATTTCCTAATTCTTCCTTGTTCATAAGAACTAAAATTTCCACATCATAGTCTTTCCTCTATCCAAATGGAGCAACCAACACCACCACCAAAAAGGAGGAGAAAAAGCAATAAAACAAGAGGTAGGAGACATTTAATCTAACAAGTGATTGTTTTCATTTCATTTCATTCAGGTATTTCATTTCATCCATTTTTGCAGCTAAAAAGTGTACATAATACCCTTCCGTGATATCATGATACTGGCACAAATAAAACAACTTCACACTCTAAAACAGAAAGCTAGCTTCACAAAGCAAAGACCATGAAAAAAAGACTGACCAAAAAACAAGAGCAACAAAGAGAGTGAGGAGCCCTCTCCAGGCTACCACCCACCACTCATTATCTCTGAACAGTCCCAACCTTCATTGGAAACCCACATTGAGATGTATTCAAAGTTAGAGAATTGGAGAGTTCATTTCATCTTAAACTAAGAAATGACTTGTGATCCAAGTAAATGTAAAACTCCAAGAATGTAGTAGCAACTAGAAATAACCACAAATAAAATTAAAGACATATACATCCTGATTAGATTTATAGTTAATTAAAACTAACCATCCCCTTCTGGGGTCACACTACAGTCCTTTAAACTCAGTTATTTGTGAGTACTCCTCCTAGAAAAGCTTTTCTTCTCTGGATTCCATTACCCAATATTATCCTACATTATCTACATCTCTGTCCAGGCCTCAATTTCCATATCATACTCCTCTTTTTGTTTTCTACTCCCTGGATTTCCTAAGATTCTGCCCCAAGACCATTTTCCCTTCAATTATTCCCTTACCAATCTCCTTATTAATAACTCCCAAATATGTGCCTCTCATCCTCATCTTTTTTTTTTTTTTTTCATGAGTTACAGGCTCACATTTCCTGTAATATTCTAAACCTTTTGCACCCAGATACTCAAATGGATACCTCAAACTCAACATGTCAAAATCGTCTCTAAATCCATCTCCCTGACTTCCATGGCATTAACATTCCCCTAGTCACTCCTAGGTGACCTAGAAATTCAGTTGCAATTGGCTCTTCCTTCCTTTCCCCTGAATATTACATCCAATCCAATACTATACTTCTTAATTGAATCATAACACAAACC